GTCTATGTGGGGGATGTGTTGACATACTGGGGCACATCGGGGCTGGGGAAGGAGTTGGGGTAATACCTGGAAAGGGTTTAGGGCAAGAGGCAGAGATCAGATTAGTTTTTGGGTGACTATAGGTCAGGAAGGCTGATAGGTACGGGCTTGAGGTGGACATTAGGAAAGGAGTGGGTTTAGGGTCAGAATTTGGCTTGCCTGGGCGTGGGTGATGGTTTAGGTTTGGGTTTGGGGGCAGGTCTGAGGTGAAGCCAGCAGGGGGATCACACCTGAGGCATGGCTTTCTTCATACAGGAGCCCTCCTTAGGGGTCCTCGAGGGAGGCCGGGAGTTTGGGAGGCAGGTCCCCACCCTGTCTTTTTCTGCCCTGCTTACCCAGCGGATGAGGGTGGCATAGGTGAACGGGGGCCGCATGTTGTGGAACTTGAAGTAGTCCATGTTGTGGAAGAATTCTGCCCGAGGGGAAGAGGAGTCAGGCCCCACCAGAACCTCCTCACTCCCTCTCCTGCCCTCTGCTGTTCCCATGACCACAGTTACTGCTTGCCGAGCATCTGACATAACTCGTATCACTTACTCTTTGTACCACTCCCACCCAAATGGGGCTTATTCTTGCTGATGTTTAAAGGAAGGGAAGTAATTTGCACACGAAAAGGATGTAACTGGTTAAGTGGCAGAACCAGATGACACGCAAGGGCCCTGATCACTGTTAAACCCACAGCCCAGGCCTTTTGTGTAGTGGGGGCTGACGAACTTGGGCGAATACCCCACTTTCCCTTCAGGGGGAGAGGGAGAGTCCCTGGAAATTACATAGGTAGTCCCCTCCCTTCTCCCTTCTGATGACCAAATGGAACAGCTGAAGCCCCAAAGCCCAGGGAGACAGAACTAGACAGCTGAGACCATAATGGGAGCTTGCAGGCTACAGAAACTGAGAGGAAGCTTTTGTAAGCGGGTGTATTTTCCCAAAGGCTGGGTTGCGGTGGTGGGGGAGAGCAGTGTGGAGCCCCCCAATGCATGCCAGTCTGAAGATTAGCGGTTCAGGGACACCATGTAGGGCACAGACCATCCTTACCTGGGAAAGTGCTATGTCCATGGCTGCCCCAGAGGTGCCTCCGCACAGCAAATAGGCCACTGGGGCCCTCCTGGGGGCTGGGCCAGGCTGGAACGGTGGCGCCCGGGGTGCCAGCAGCTACAATGCAGCAGGAGCCCTTGTCAGATGATACCTGGGTGGGGTGAGGGAGAGGCTGGTGACCCAGAGGCTGAAACTTTCCACTTTAATTTTAAATAAGTAAGTGTTTTTAAAAGCAAGGGCACCCTGCCCTGGCCAGTGTGGCTCAGTTGGTTGAGTGTCATCCAGTGCACCAAAAGATCGCCAACTTGATTTCTAATCAGGGCACATGCCCAGGTTGTGGGTTCAGTCCTGTCGGGGTGCATACAGGAGGCAACAAATGGACGTTTCTGTCTCACATCAGTATTTCTCTCCCTCTCCCTTCCTCTCTCTAAAATCAATAAAAACACACACAAACATATTTAAAAGCAAGGGTGCCCTCTTCTCAACTCCAGTCTGATGTATATTCCCGCAAAGCAGCATTAGCCATATTTCTCAGTGTGGTGTGAGCACTAGTGTGTGTAGCTCACCAACGCTGGGGCCGCCAGCTGGGGTTGAATCGGGCTCCTCTACAACCCCACCTTGGGAAAGTCACAAGTCTGCCTGGCCTCAATTTTCCTCATCTGTAGGCTAGGGATGATAGCAGTGCCTACGTTATAGTAGCATCATGAGGAGTGAGTTCACACCAGCAAAGGGATCAGAAGCAGTGCCTGTTACCCAGGCCCGCTTCGTGGGTATGTGACCTGCACAGCCACACAGGGCCCTGTAATTAGTTTAATGCTCTGCAGTTGCCATCTTGAAATTCGAGCCCTGCATTTCATTTTGCTCTGGGCCCTGTGAGCTATATAGCCAGTCCTGCTAGTGACACATGATCTACATGCAGTAAATGTCTAGCTATTTGATGTTTTGAAAGCAAGATTATGATGTTTCCAGAGCTTAGGGTGAGAGGGTTTGTAAGTGGAGGGGAATAGATTCTCAGGTCTGGGCATGTTTGGAACTGGGAACAAGGGCCCACATATCCCAGGGCCTGGGTGTAAGGATAGGTCTCCCGCACCCTGCAGGGCCCCTTTCCTGCCCCTCCCCACAGCAGTCTCTGCCGCCATCAGGCCCAGGTGGCTTACCATGGATGGAGCCTTGGTCAGGGCCACCTTCCCAGCCAGGTGGGCCTGCATAGCGCCCAGCTTCTCCTTCTCCAGCACCAGCTGTGAAGATGGGAACAAAGTGAGGCCTCAAGCTGGCCTTTGCCAACCATGGTTTGCCCAGGCTATGGTCTTGCCTGGGAGTGCACCTTCCCCTTCCTTAACGTTAGCTCCCATCCTGGGTGAGCTTGGCTCCTGGCACAGGGTAGACATAACGTTTGCCCACCATCCCCCACCATCACCCCTGCCCCATGTCACCTGCTGCTCCAGAGACTGCACCACCTCCCTCTGGAGGAGACACTGCGCCCTGCCCTTCTCATCCAGGAGATGGTCTGCCTGGCAGTGCCTGGGGAGGGGGGAAGATTCCATGCAGGTGACCATGGCAGGCCTGGCCTCCTGGCTCAATGTTCTGAATGGGGAAGGCTCAGACTCTCTGGGAGGTCTCTCCTCAGAGCCTCAGCCTCCCATTCCTCTACCTCAGGCTCCCTCTCACACTGTCATTTGTTCAACACATGCTACTTGGCATCCCCCTTGTGCCAGGCCTGAGCTTGCCACTGGAGCCTGGCCAGGGTGTTGGGGATGATGTTGGAAGGGTGGCAAGCTCGGAGCAGCCAGGTAGTTGAGAGAAGGAAAGGCATTCTAGGTGGAGGGAAGGCCTGGTGGTGAAGAGGACAGCATGCATTGAGTTGCCACTGATAGTTGGGTAGGGTTGGAGAAGGTGGGGTGTGTGTGTGTATGTTGTATCTCTGTGTGATGAGGCTAAGGAGAGGCAGCAATAGCCATTTTGAGGAGCTGGGACTTTGGGGATCAAGAAAATCATGCTTTCCCTGGTCAGTGTTGCTCAGTATTTAGAACATTGGCCCATGCACTGAAGGTCTTGGTTTCGACTCCTGATCAAGGGCACGTACCTGGGCTGCAGGTTAGATCCCCAGCCCCGAACTGGGCCACATGCAGGAGGTAACCAGTCAGTCAGTCTCTCTCTCTCTCTCTCTCTCTCTCTCTCTCTCTCTC